AAATAAACGTTGAAAAAAAAATTAAAAAAAAAAAGATAATTGACTCTTCTTTCATGTTTTTTTCTTACAAAAATATAGGAATATATTCTTGTAAAAATTCAAACAATCTAGGAATAAATAGAATAAAAAGTGAAAGACCACCTCTCTCTGAACCCCTCCTCATTCTGCTCCCCTCTGTAGGGATAACAATTGTTAGCAGTTCAGTGAATATCATTCCATAAACATTTTTTTCAGAACGTATCATTTTATTTTTGCACAAATGAGATCATACTATACAAATTATCCTGCAATTTACTGTTTTCACAGTTCTGGACATCTTTCCAGATTAGTACATATGAATTTACTTCGTCCTTTAAACCGCTCCATAATATTTCTCGTAATAGATATAACATAGTTTAACAGCTTTTCTTTTGATGGAAATTTCTCTTATATTCTCAATTTTATTTTATTTTTTAAATTTAATGTTTATTTACTTATTTTGAGAGAGAGACACTACAAGCAGGTAAGGGACAGAGGGAGGGGGGAGAGAGAGAATCCCAAGCAGGCTCCACACTGTTAGTACAGAGCCGGACACGGGGCTGGAACTCAAACCATAAGATCAGGACCTGACCCCAAATCAAGACTCGGATCCTTAACCCACTGAGCCACCCAGGTGCCCCGTATATTCTCAAGTTTAAAGAATGTTGTAATGACAATGATAATGAGTTATAATAATTCACATTTATTGAATGGCTTGTATGTAGCATGCGTTCAGCTGAGGACTTCCCTTGTATGATCACATTTAGTTTTGTAAACTGTGCTAAAACCCAAGTACCCCTGGATGCAAGGTCTTTGTGAGATCTATAATTTCCATATGTTTTCTATCCATCTATAGTCTTGTGATTCTCTCTGTAGTATCTTTGTGGAACAAGGATTTTAAACTTTTGATCACATTCCATTTATCGGTTTTTCTGTTAAGGATTGTGCTTTTAGTGTCTAAGAACTCTTCAGCTAGCCCTGGGTCCTGAAAACGTTCTCTTTTTTTTTCCTGAAAGTTACACAATTTTATAGTTTATAAACTACAGTTTTTCACAACTTTGTGGAAAATCAATTGGTTGTGTTTACGTAGGTCTATTTCTGTGTTCTCCAGTCTGTTACACTGATTTGTTTCTTCATCTTTGCGCGAATACTATGCCGTTTTGATGACAGTAGTTTTATAATAATTTTTGAAATCAGGAAGTTTTAGCTCTCCGACTCTTTCTTTTCACAGTTGATTTGGCTATTCTAGGTCCTTTGCCTTTCCGTATCCATTTCAGAATTAGTTTGTCAATTGATTTCTGCATATCA